CGTAAGTAAAGTGCATGCATCGTTGTGAATTGTAGCGTGTGTTTAAGTTAAAGTGACTGTAGAAATTAAGTGTATTACAAAGTTTGTAACGAGAAAGAATAAACTAGTTTTAATCAAGAAGGGACTTGTATCGCTGAAGTCACTCGGAAAAATTTTTTACCTGAAATTATCAAACAAGCAGATACGTAACAATACATTAACTGTTATGGGTCAGATTGTAGGTACATATAAGTTTGATGTCACTTCTTTATTCACAAATACTCCATTGGATGAGACCATCGACGTTTGTTTGTAAAATCTCTTTCACGATAATTCTCTTGTTTGTGGCTTAACTAACACAATCTTCTTATCGTCGTAGTTTTTTGTAAACTTCTGTTACGTTTTATAAATCGATTAGGCCTAGCGTTCACGTAGCAATCTGCTATTGTCATTGTCACTGTATTGAAACTTCAGAAAGTTCTTATATGAATCAACGATACATTCTTTGATAGATTGTTTAGGCGAAACATGACGAAACTAAGTTGAATGGACGGCAACTGTCTGTTGTAGAAACACAAGTGTAGAGGACAACGTTTCGAAAGTCTTTCGCCTTTCGTCTTCAGACGAAACGTCGTTCTCCACACTTGTGTTTCTACAAGAGGCAGTTGTTGTCCATTCAAATTAGTTTCATACGATACATTTTTAAATTGTGAAGTATTTGAAGTGATTTATTATTCCAATGAATCATCAAGCCTGATTTCTCAACAAACCTGTTTGTAGGTAATCTGTTATTACCAAAAGAATCCAAATTGATAACCACCACGTTAATCAGAGGTGGAATTTCTAGTGTAAAAATGTATAAAGATGTGGGAAAATGTCTTTATTCTGGTGTAAACGATGAAAAATAAAATGAAAGAAGGTGACATTGAACTTAAGAATCTTATCCATTAATTTTAAAAGCGTGATAAACAATTTAGAGAATTCTACAAGAAATTTTCTAAAGGGCGTTGCTGAGAGCTCGACATAAAAATGAGTATAGATGGAGTTTCGACGTAGTTATATGGGCGCGACTTTACGTCTGGAGAAGTATAAAACACGAATTAAGATGGAGTACATTATTATTCGGAAGAGTATGTTAGTCAGTGAATTAGTAACCAGTGCATGTTTCAATAAATTTTTGAGGCAAGGCCTATCGTTAGTTTCAAATACCGTGGAACTTGTAG